GTTGATTGTATCATTTCCCGTTTCTAAACATAAAGCAGGTGTGGTGTAAATGTGTTCCCTTACATGCGCCCCGTCTGTTGAAGCAATTAATAAAGTAGGGCGGATACGCTACTCCACTTATGTGTGTGTCCACCGCGAGCAAAGATTTGATTTTACTTCTTTGTGAACGTCCTTTTACGTGAAGTTGGTAAGGGACGTGCAGAACAAACAAGGGAATTAACTCAGTTATTTCACTTGTCGGGTAAAAACTTAGGGATTATGTCCCCTTGTTTAAGCGTCTTAAAGATTAATTAAAAAATTAATCAGCTTAAAAAATAAAAAAAAAAATTAAAATTAAAATTAGTTTTTAACTGCTGGCCGTCCTTGAAAAGTTGTTACATAACTTTATAACAGCAGACTATGAACAAATCATGAATAACGGGGGACAAGGCAACCCCCTCACCCCAAAAAAAAACAAAAAAAAAACAATAGTTTTAAATATACTGCAAACACAAATTTAAAAATGGACGGAAAAACCGATCTCGGGACTCGTGGAAAGTAACCAATGACAAACACCTCACTTATGGCTACTGAAGTACAAGGTAAGGCAACAACATAATTATGTTACTTCGAAAGTAGACATACCGGTCACGTTAAACAGTGAGGTCAGTAGCAGGGTCAAACTTTTCCCTGAGTCTGCCCGACTGATGATGACCTCGACCGTGACATTGTACACCGTCCCAGGTGTGAGACCTGGAATGACGTAGGTCGGGTCGCCTGCTGTGGCTTGTTGGCACGCCCTCAATGTACTGTTCCAGCATATGGTGTACACAAGAGACACGTTTGGAGGACGGGACGTTCTGGGGAGCTGGATGGTGAAGCTTGAATTTGATTGGCTCGTAAGGGATGGTGACGTAAAGTTACTAGCGTCATCTGCGGAAAATACGACATGCAATGTCAACTGATATGACATCATGGATATGTTCTGTCATTTTTTTTTTTAATTCTTAACCTCAGATCAATGGTTCTCAACCTTCCTAATGTCACGACCCTTTAATACAGTTCCTTATCTTGTGGTGACCCCCAAACTATAAATTATATTTGCTGCTTCTTCATAAATATGTGTTTTCCGATGGTCTTAGGCGACCCCTCTGTAAGGGTCGTTCGACCCCCAAATGGGTCGCGGGCACACAGGTTGAGAACCGCTGCCTTAGATCGATGACTATAAATTTATACGTGCTCTTAGTAATCGATAATTAAATTTTGTTAAATATCTGCTACTAGGCCTTAACCGGGTAAAGTTGTTTTTAGATCGGTTCAGGGTTTTTTTGGAAAAATTCACGTTGGGTCCAATTTTTACAAAAACAGTTAACTGCTCATTTTTTATAAACAATAGGCCTACAGACAGTTCTACAGACAGTCCCAGAGACAGTCCTACACAATACCCATAAAGAAAAAAGCATTCAACCTGTTAACTCGTGTTCGGCCGTCACGCAAGAAGCTCGCTGGGTGACAGTGGGTTTTTTTTTTAGGGGGGGGGGGGGGGGGGGTTCACTCAGTTCTCTTGCTATTAAACAGGGTGGGTATGGGGAGAGGCCGATTGTGAAAAGGAAGCAGAGATTCTATTACTTACAATGGACACAAGTTTTTTAACTCGTGTTCGGCCGTCACGCAAGAAGCTCGCTGGGTGACAGTGGGTTTTTTTTTTAGGGGGGGGGGAGGGGGGGGTTCACTCAGTTCTCTTGCTATTAAACATGGTGAGTATGGGGAGAGGCCGATTGTGAAAAGGAAGCAGAGATTCTATTACTTACAATGGACACAAGTTTTGGATGCGGTGGGGTACCGATCCCAATGACACATACACTTTCTTTTCCAACAAATACTGCCATGGACAGACTGGTTACATGCTGCGTCACTTCCACACGGGCTCCCAAGCTGGAGAGGCGCGGCCTCGGTGGTCATTGTGGACGTCGTCTCTTGGGTGGTTGATGTCGGTGGTGTTCTCTCTGGGGTGGTAGATGTCGGTGATGTTCTCTCTTGGGTGGTTGATGTTGGTGAAGTTCTCGCTTTGGTGGTTGATGTTGGTGATGATCTCTCTTGGGTGGTTAATGTTGGTGATTTTCTCTCTTGGCTGGTTGATGTTGGTGATGTCCTCCCTTGGCTAGTTAATGTTGCAGTTGATCTAAATGGGGTTGTTGAATTTATAGATGCTGTCGCCGTTTTTTGTCGGGTTGTTGTTAACAGGGTTGGCCCCTGAGTGATGGCCATATGGGTAGAACCGAAGGAGGGTATCGGAGTGGACAACCGGGTTGTCAAATCAAAGAGCGTAGTCTGTGGAGTGGTTGGTATTGAAAAGGGTTGTGTGGTTGCTGGAGTCATCCGGGTCGTTGCTGTAGTTTCCGTGATTTCTGTAAGTGCTGTTAGTGAGGAGTTCAACCCCATCTTTGCTGTTGTTGCTGTTTTAATTTTTGTTGTTGTTATTGTTGCATCAGGTTCGGGTGTTTGAAAACGCATGGTGCTGGCAACTAGCTCTGACGTGTGTTTCACTGGAAGATTGATGTTGTCTGTGCTGGGGGTGTGTGTCACTGGAAGATTGATGTTGTCTGTGCTGGGGGTGGAAGGGATTGACGTCGTTTCGTGGGATTTCGTAACTTGAACCGGTTTAGCGGTTGACGGGCTGGTTAGTGGTTGGCGTGGCGTGGGGCTGTGGGTGGAGGAGAGTGAGGGCCGTGTCGTTGGGCTGGGGTTAGGAGGGGTGTAAGGTGAAGTTTTGAGGGGAGGGGGCATGTTAGAAGACGGCACGTGGGGTTGGTGGGTAGATTGTGGGATTAGCAGGGACTTTATAGACGCGGAGGTGGAAGTTGTCGTTCCATCTGACGATTTTCTTTGTGGAAGCCCCGAGTGTGCTGCGGTGGAAACAGTTTCCGAAATACTGATCTGTGCCGGACTCGAGGACGTCGACGCGGTCCTCCTTTCCGTGCCTGTTTCCACGGGAGTCTTCTCGAGCAACTTCCTGGTCGTTGTTCGAATCATTTCTTCTGAGGTTTGGGAGGAAGATTCCATCTTCACTGCTCCCGAATATTGTGAGGACGTTTCTATTTGTGCAGTTTCCAAGGATTTTTGGGAGGGACGTTCTGTGTTGGAAAGCGTGACATTAACCGCCGCCTCTGTCATGTCATTCTTCAAGGTAGCCCGTGTCCTGTGAATTGTTGCGACGTCTCGTGCAGCGGAGCTTAACGAGGAATCGCTGAGGTCCGTCGACGCTGTCAGTGAAGCGTTTCTGTCTGACTGAGTTGTCATGGCAAGTGACGTGCTCTCGGTGGCTTTCATTGTGTGTCCACCACCGGTCATTGGGTCAGTGGACATGGCTTCATCGCCGGTCGGGTAGACAGAAAGGTCTGCTGACGTCACAGCTGAGCTCTGGTCCATTTCAACCTGAAGTACGGTCGGTGAAAGCTCTGAGAGCTGTGAACGAGTTGGTTTTTGAACTATTTCCTTTTCTACATCTTTTCGTCCTGAACTTCCTGGGGTCTGGTTTTCGTTCGGTTTTGGGGTAATTATTATTTCCACTTGAGGTAGCAGAACATTCCATTTTTCAAGTTCACTTTTATGAGTATCCACATTTTCCATTCCAGGTTTATAAGTAGCCACATTTTCCAGTTCGGGTTTAAAAGTATCCACATTTTCCTGTCCAGGTTCATAAGTATCCACATTTTCCAGTCCAGGTTCATAAGTATCCACATTTTCCAGTCCAGGTTCATAAGTATCCACATTTTCCAGTCCAGGTTCATAAGTATCCACATTTTCCAGTCCAGGTTTCCTAGTGATACTGTTGCCTGGTTCGCTTTTCAGTTGACCTCTCCTTTGTTCATCCAAGTCTTCTGTAAGAAGGATTTTCTCAGAAATGCTGTACATTGAATGTTCAAAACTTGAAGGGCGTGTTTCTGTATCTTCCTCGTGTTCAATGTCTGGAGCCTGAGAGCGGGATGTGACATCATAATCGTCAATGTCCTGACCGGGAAGTTGATCAGATGAGATCACTCCTTGCTCTTCGAGCCGGCTTCCGCTGTCTGTCTCCTGGCTCGTGGTTTCCGCAAGCGGGTAGAGCGTCGATGATTTGAACGGCCCTTCCGCCCCGGATGCTGCCTGTCTGCCATCGTTATCCCTAGAATCTATCTCTGCGTGGTGGTCGCGCTTTGTAGCTGTCATGTCGACGTCCTGTAATTTTAAGCCAAGGCTGCTCCGTGATGCCCCTGAGGTTTGCTCGTGGTTCTGTTCGGGGATCGTAACTCTTTGAGGCGGGCTGTGTGTTGTCTGCACCTGTTGAAAACCTCGGGTTGTTCCACTCGTGAAATTGACAGAAGTCTTCTTTGTTTGTGGGGCAGGAGCTGCTTCGTGTGTTGAAAAACTCGGCAGTGGTGAAAACTTGAGATTTGTGTTTTCAAATGAACCATTGTCTTTGTGTCTATTTGTTCCTGACGGATCTGTTCCAAACTGGTGATGTCTGGTTACACTCTGGTCTGAGAGGCCTTCCGATACCTTTTGAAGGATGGTAGATGATGGCTTAGATGAGGTTAATGTCCTAATCAGGGCAATAGTCCCTTCACTTGTGATGCTCGAATGTGCCGTATCTTTTGTTGTAGTTTGTTGAATCGTTGTTTCTTTTTTTGTTGTTTGTGGAATAGATGAAGCTGTTGTTGGAGGAATAGTTGAAGCTGTTGTTGGGGGAATAGTTGAAGCTGTTGTTGGGGGAATAGTTGAGGCAGTTGGAGGAATAGTTGAAGCTGTTGTTGGGGGAATAGTTGAAGCTGTTGTTGGGGGAATAGTTGAAGCTGTTGTTGGGGGAATAGTTGAAGCTGTTGTTGGGGGAATAGTTGAAGCTGTTGTTGGGGGAATAGTTGAAGCTGTTGTTGGGGGAATAGTTGAAGCTGTTGTTGGGGGAATAGTTGAAGCTGTTGTTGGGGGAATAGTTGAAGCTGTTGTTGGGGGAATAGTTGAAGCTGTTGTTGCGGGTATAGTTGAAGCTGTTGTTGGGGGAATAGTCGAAGCTGTTGTTGCGGGAATAGTTAAAGCTGTTGTTGGGAGAATAGTTGAAGCTGTTGTTGCGGGAATAGTTGAAGCTGTTGTTGGGGGAATAGTCGAAGCTGTTGTTGCGGGAATAGTTAAAGCTGTTGTTGGGGGAATAGTTGAAGCAGTTTTTGGTGGAATAGTCAAAGCTGTTGTTGGGGAAATAGTTGAAGCAGTTGTCGGGGGAATAGTCGAAGCTGTTGTTGGGGAAATAGTTGAAGCTGTTGTTGGGGGAATAGTCGAAGCTATTGTTGGGGGAATAGTTGAAGCTGTTGTTGTAGGTGGGTGAGTTGTCTTTTTTGTTGTAGTTATTGGAGTTGTTTCCATTGGTCGAATAGTTTTATATGTTGAAGATGTTTGAATTGTATCTTTTGGTGAAAATTTTGTTTCCTTAGCTGTTATTGGTAGAATTGTAGTTTCCTTGGCTGGTATTGGTAGAATTGTTGTTTCCTTGGCTGGTATTGATAGAATTGTTGTTTCCTTGGCTGGTATTGGTAGAATTGTTGTTTTTTCCTTGGCTGTTATTGGTATAATTGTAGTTTCCATAGATGATGTTGGAAGAACGGTTGTCCGCTGTGTTGCAGTTTGTGAGATCGTGCTGTGTTTCATTGTAGCTGGTGACATTATTGTATGTGCCTTCTCAGTTGGTGGAGTTGTCGTATATGTTGCTGTAGTTGGTGGAACAGTAGCGTAATGCTTTGCCGGAGCTTGTGGATTCGATGTAAATGGGTGAAATATGAACGTTGTTTTAGTTGCTGGAACACGTGTGCGTTCATTTGATGTTGTCAAGCCAGATGCGTGGTTTACTTGATCGGGTTTTCTGGTTGAGGTGTCTTCGAATACTACCGCCGAACTGAGTGGCGGTGTTCTGGTGCTGGGTAAAACGGGCAGAATCTTCGCGTCAACACTTGTGACGTTGTACGGGCGACTACTCGTGTGAAGCTCAGAGGTGAGCTGTTTGCTGGCGTAGCTCCTTTTAGTTATGACTCTCTTCCTCATTCCTCTGTTGGCCTGTGGGAAACCCTGCCAGAACATAAGGAATAAATCGTGGTCATTTTTCTATCGTAAGAAAACGATTCACACAAAAAATTTTTTTTTAGGAAAATGGCGAACAAAAAAGTAATGTCATGATTATGATTAATGGTTAAATTTAAAATGATTCTGATATCTTCAATTAGAAAAAAAAAGTTTAAATTTTGTTTCATATTTATGATAACAATTAATTATGGTAAATAGTAACCCACGTGATGAGAGCAATAAAATATTTTTAAGCGGACCATCTCCAGCAATGCCATTCCTTATTTCACATTACATTACAACTGAAACGGGTTGGTGGGATAATTTTCAAAAATAGTTTTTAAGACCCCAAAAAAAAAAAATGTTTAAGAAACTAAATCAATAAAAATAAAATAATATTATTATTCAATTTCCTTTTATTTTCGGGAAAAAAGTGGGTGCTGGTCGGTGAAACTGCATCGACCTGAAATAGAGCATGAGTTTGTGATAGTTTGTGATGGGCTAAAACAGAATTCAAACTTTCCTATTTATTATTAAATGTTTTAAATATTTATTTTACAACGGGGAATCTGTGAAAAATTAAGAACGTTGCTCGGAGGGAGCTCATTGTATGATGGTTAGTATAGGGTTGCAGAATTATTTACATCATCATAATTAAATCTGTGTTACTCAAATAAAGTGGAATGAGCGCTTAAACTCACTCACAGCTTCTAAATAAAAACCCATAATTTAAGCTCTTCGGTTTTCCCCCCTCTGAGGAACCTCTCGTTACACTGATGTAACCTCTCGTTACACTGATGTTACCTCTCGTTACACCGTTGTTACAGATTACATAGTATTTATTTCTTTGTTTAATTTTAAATAAAGATTATTTTTTTTAAACTTAATACAGGATGATAACCATAAGTGCGTTTAAAAAAAAAACAAAAATACTCCGACTTAGGGAACTTCTAAAATCCATGGTAGTTTCACTAAAATGCATGGTAGTTTCACTAAAATGCATGGTAGTTTCGGTAAAATCCATGGTAGTTTCGGTAAAATCCTTGGTAGTTTCACTAAAATCCATGGTAGTTTCACTAAAATCCATGGCAGTTTCACTAAAAACCATGGTAGTTTCACTAAAATCCATTATAGTTTCACTAAAATCCATGGTAGTTTCACTAAAATGCATGGTAGTTTCACTAAAATCCATGGTAGTTTCACTAAAATCCATGGTAGTTTCACTAAAATCCAATGGTAGTTTCACTAAAATGCATGGTAGTTTCGGTAAAATCCATGGTAGTTTCGGTAAAATCCATGGTAGTTTCACTAAAATCCATGGTAGTTTCACTAAAATGCATGATAGTTTCACTAAAATCCATGGTAGTTTCACTAAAATCCATGGTAGTTTCACTAAAATCCATGATAGTTTCACTAAAATGCATGGCAGTTTCACTAAAATCCATGGTAGTTTCACTAAAATCCATGATAGTTTCACTAAAATGCATGGTAGTTTCGGTAAAATCCATGGTAGTTTCGGTAAAATCCATGGTAGTTTCACTAAAATCCATGGTAGTTTCACTAAAATCCATGGTAATTTCACTAAAATCCATGGTAGTTTCACAAAAATCCATGGTAGTTTCACTAAAATGCATGGTAGTTTCACTAAAATCCATCAAAATTTCCCTGATTTTTAAACAAAGTTGCGGATTTGTATTTCAGCAGCAGCAGTAACCTGTTAAGATGACGCCTGCAAATATTTTAACGTCTACCGCCATCTTGTCTTAAATCTCCCGCCCCTTTGGCTTTTGTTTTTGCGAGTTCCTTGCCGGAGTTCTTGTGCTAAATGGTGAAATGTTTAACGCGTCTTAAAAAACTCGATAGCTTATTTTGTGAACAAAAGTTTATTCCATCCGGTAAAATTCGAACATACCTACCCCGCTCAGGGGCGTCTATTTCTTCCCCCCCCCCAACCTGAGTGTAGGAAGATAACCCCCTTCCCTTTTAGACCTTGGACTAGGTAAATTGTTTACTGCTGTTGAGTGTGGGTCACGTCAGGCATGGTATTGGTATCTAATTCTGGATTTCAGATTGAATGTATTAGTAATACACAAATTTACTTTTAAAAAAATTGTTAGAACATTGTTGACTGGTCAATAATAATATTGCTAACAAAATATTGAACATTTTTCAGCAAACTGAATAATCAAATGATGTGATTATTTAAGAATGAATTTTAGAAGGATTATAATTATTATAATTATTATTATTATTATTGTGGGTTCTTAAAATTGATTGTCTGACCGAGTGTCAGGGTCGCTGTTCGGTCGAACCACGTGTCCATAAATATATGAAAATAATTTTTTTAAAAATCGAGTAATTTTTTTGTGTTATTTACCATGTCAATTTTTTTTTTTTTTTTTTTTTTTCCGTTTTTTGTTTTGTAGAAAAAAAAAAAAAAAAAAAAGGGGGGGGGGGGGGGGGGGGGGGGGGGGGTTATTCCCCCTTCCCAATGAAACCCATCTCATGGTCGCCACTGTTGCGATAATATGTCGACAATATCCAGATCTAGTTCGTTGACAAAAAACGCTGCATTGTTGAAACAAAGAAAAGCTGCGATCAAATTAGTTATTTTCTGTGAAACCTTTATTACAGTTCAACAGTTACAATGTTTTCTGTCAAACAATTTTCAATAAAGACAAACATATTCGAACGAAAAACATGTTTCAATAAAGACAAATATATTTGAAGGACAGACATTTTGTTCATTAAACATCAGAACTCCTGCGTGACTTTTGGGCACCTCCTCCATTTTCAGGGGCTTTATGTCCCGTCCAAACAAGATGGATAATTTAATATTTTAACACATAGCAACTTTTGGGGACCTCCTCCATTTTCAGGGGCTTTATGTCCCGTCCAAACAAGATGGATAATTTAATATTTTAACACATAGCAACCTTTGGGCACCTAAACTATCTGAGCCCCCTCACCCCCCACCCTTTTGCAGCCCCCAGGGGTTGCATGGTCCATGTGACGGCCTGTTATAAACATCGAAGGACTTAGATATTTTAATACGCATAAATCTTATTGTTATGGTTAAAATCGTCTTTCACTAACCTGCACCAAGACAACATGGCAGCACATCCAAATAACAATGACCAGTGCAGAGCAATGACCAAATAAGTACATCTTCAAGCTACGCCTATGGGAAATCAAAATTTACTCCGGTCAAGTAAAGATTCGACTCCACAATGAAATCCAATAGATATATATATATATAGAAATATATTTGCAGTCCTGTCACAAAGCTAACACATTGTCCATGGCAATTGATGATCAGATTCTAGTATCAAAAAAAAAAAAAAAAAAAAAAATAATCCAATAGATATATATATATATAGAAATATATTTGCAGTCCTGTCACAAAGCTAAAACAATGTCCATGGCAATTGATGATCAGATTCTACTATCAAAAAAAAAAAAAAAAAAAAAAGTTTGTGTTTAAGAGACCGGTAATCACATGATCATGGTGTGTTGTTTTGTAAGATTAAACTGGGTGCGTACCGAAACTCGACTTTTTTTTGTTTGTTTAAATGAGATACGGACTGTCAACAAATGAAAGGTGTCAATGAAAACTAGCTCCACATCCACGTGCGCGCAGGTCGTTGTTGACGATGTTCTCACGTTATTGTGCCAATGTGTTCTGTGTTCAGAACGCTAGAGCTCGGTGGAAGTTATTAGTCTTAAATGATGTGTTCGTTTGGCGACAGCACCGCGGGATTCTGGGCCAGCTCTAGAGGGTCGCAGATGCTGGTTGATTTCTTTCATTCATAAGTTCACGGGGGAGGGGGGTTGGGGGGCTCGACGGAAATGTGTTGGGCCGACTTCACTTTGTCTTAAGAGGCGGTCCAAGTGGACGTAAGGCGTCATCAGACGACGGCAAGAACTGGACGTTCCTGGCAACACATCTAGGGCATCAACCTCAGAAATGGGTCGGCATATGCGGCAGATTAGTTTTCACACAATGCAGAACAAGTCAAACATGACAACGTGACAACGTGACAAGTTTAATATTTTAAAAGAATTTTTCACCATCTTGGTTTTTAAAAAAAAGTTTATTCTTCACACTTCTTGATTGTTGTTGTTCATGTATAGAAGTTATGAATAGTTATTTGGAAGAAATTTCCATAAGTGGACGACAGAATTAATGTTAAATAAAATAATTCATTCAAAATCAGTCTTGAGTGGCTTCACATAGGAGAAGAAGTTATAATTTCAATTTCAAAACAGACGTGAAATAATTGAATTGAAAACATGTCTAATAGATTTTTCATCAAACAATATCTTTCTTTTTTTTACTTTGACAAAATACGCACCAAAAAGACGTATTCTCACAATGGTCTCTTAAATATATTTTGCTTCTTGTGTGGCCTGCTTCCTTTACGAATCTTTTATATTAATCAATAAAGAGCCACGGGTATGGTGTAGGGATGTTTGTAGGACTGCCTGTAGGCCTAATGGTTAAAGGCCGGCAGGTAGGGTGTAGGACTATCGGTAGGCCTAATGTTTACAAGTCAGCAGGTAGGGTGTAGGACTATCGGTTGGCCTAATGTTTACAAGCCAGCAGGTAGGGTGTAGGACTATCGGTAGGCCTAATGTCTAAGGGGCGGCAGGTAGGGTGTAGGACTGTCGGTAGGCCTAATGTTTAAACGTCGGCAGGTAGGGTGTATGACTGTCGGTAAGCCTAATGTTTAAAGGCCGGCAGGTAGGGTGTATGACTGTCGATAGGCCTAATGTTTAAAGGCCGGCAGGTAGGGTGTAGGACTGTTGGTAGGCCTAATGTTTAAAGGTCGGCAGGTAGGGTGTAGGACTGTCGATAGGCCTATTGTTTACAAGCCAGCAGGTTCGGGGTAGACCTATATCTCTGAGCCAGTGTAAAATAACTGTATCCGGTTAAGCCCAAGTATGAAAATATTTCGACAACAACCTGTCCGTAAGTCATGCACCAGGTCGCACGTCATGCACCAGGTCTCACGTAATGCACCAGGTCTCAAGCTTACATCCCACTCATCTTCGTCAATAAAAAAACATTTTTTCTTCCAGATATCGTATGAATTGTCATTGCCTTTTGATTATTATTCATTACAGAAATCTAAGTTGAATTTTAAATATAATACAAACTAAATTTACATATTTTTTAAAACAATAATTTTGGGTTTTCGAATTAATTTATATTTTCTCCCTTTTAGAATATTTAGAATAAGCTTGTTTCGCGACAAATGACGCAGAACAAAAGTGTGGAGGGGTACGACCCCAAACACACGTACACGCCGCTGTGCACTGATTAATCCATCAGAGGCGGAGTAATTAAGTCAACATCTAGTTCTGTGTTGACGTCACCCACGGTAAGTGCAAGCCGAGACTGCACGTTATCGCGTTGCGAGTTATCTCCCCCCACTGACGCCGGCCCAGATCTTGCCGAGCTTAGCCTAGAGTATCTTTCGGGAAAATCTGACCCATATCAGTTATCATTGAAAATCACCACACGCTCTATTTCAAGGTCATGGTGTGGAGATAACAAAAGAAACCATAGTTACCTGCTGCTGCACATTGTTCCTATAGGATGTTTGAGCCGATATTTCATTACAGATCTTCTACTGAGGTGGTCACGGCTATTCTACGACATCAGTTGTGCTGCGCTGGTCATGGCTATTCTACATCAGTTGCACTAAGCTAGCCATGACCGGATTTAGCTAACTAGAGGCTCTAGGCTTATTGAATTTTGAGAATCCTCGCAATCACCACCCAAGCCCCACCCCCATCACCCCCATCCGAGACAAATATAAAACGGTGAGGTAAATTTATGTTTGAACATTTGCCTTTAACTACACAATTGTACTTATATATATTTTTTAATCTATCTAATAGTGAAGTACCGGTATAGAAAGTTTCAGTACTCAATAATAATTCTGATTTATTTATTAATAGTCTCGCTGACATTATTAAAATAAGGTAGCACGCTAGTTCAAAGTTCTTTCATAAATAGAAATCCCAAATCCTCTATTTTCTTTTAAAATGTCATTGGCTGGTAGCCACCCTTTCCAGTTACATATTTAAATATGAATGACTAAGGATATCAGTGATAGAACTGCAACTTTCACCAAAATTAAATAGCCTTTGTGGCTTTCCCATGTGACTCCCAGGTAGTTTGGGACAAACATTTCGGTAATTAGGATGAGATTCCAAAAATGATTGTAAACTGTCCATCACATCGAGGGGGGTGTAGGAAATACTTTCATTTTTTTTTTTTGTTTCCAAACAGTAAACTAAATCAAGACAGCAATCAACAGCAGAACAATCGAAGACACTATGACAGCATCAACACCAGAATGTTCGAAGACATCAAGGCGGAAATCAACAGCAGACCGACCGAAGACATCAAAGCAGCAATCAACAGCAGAACGACCGAAGAAATCAAAGCAGTAATCAACAGCAGAACGACCGAAGAAATCAAGGCGGCAATGAATAATAGAACAGTCGAAAACATTTCATGCGTGATCAAGAGCATGAAGAAATAAATTTGGGAATCTTTTAGCCATGATTTTTTGTTTTCTTCAAACCATTGTACGACAATATGTAACAGCCCTCAACATTATTTTAAGTCGATCGTAAGCTTATTAGTCATATAACTAAACACTAAATCGGCCATGCTTTTTCTACTGCGACCTTACAGTAACGATTTCCTCTTAACATCCAGAGCCCCTTTTTGGTTCTTGTTATAGCCTATTCAATACAATTTGAAATATTTTCTAAATTAGTCGTTTTTAAACATTATTACCACATCACAACTATGGGCCCCTTAAATATCCGAGGCCCCTGCAACGACTGGGTTTGAGTGGCTCGCTGCGGCTCTGTTGATAATGTCAATCATTAGTGATACATTATTTTATAAACATTATTTCAATGCGATTATAATAATCTATATAAATATTGGGTAAGGTCATTAATTTGTAAAAACACAAGAATGTGTCAAATGTGACTAGTTAAATTTTGAGGACCCGCTCAGATGTTGGAGGCCCAAGGCTCAATCCTACTTAGCCTATAGGGAAACTCGACACTGCATCATAGACATTGTATTTATCCTCACCAAGTATCACTTTTGGTGATTCCTTAAAAGTAAATTGTCAGCAAATTGTATATCGGTACTTGAAATTTCATAAGAATCCATTTAGTTTTAGTAAAATCCAATTGAAGTTTTAAATTATATGTTTCATATGTGCTTTAAACTTTTCCCCTGGAAATACTGAAGACACTAGTCCTAAACATAACACATTGAAGACACGAGTCCTACACATAACACTAGGAAGACGCTAGTCATGAAAATAACACATTGAAGACACGAGTCCTACACATAACTCATTGAAGACGCTAGTCCTGAAAATAACACATTAAAGACATTAGACCTAAGAGAAAACCCATAAAGGTACTAGACCTAAAATTAATTCATAAAAGACACCAGACCTAGTTGAAACTAACTTAAAACACTTGACCTACGAGTAATTCATTGAAGACATCAGACCTAAATGTAACTAACTGAAGCCACTAGTCCTAACAGAAGACCACTGACTGGACCTAAGAGCTAACTGAAGCCACTAGTCCTAACAGAAGACCACTGACTGGACCAAAGAGTAACTTACTGGAGCCACTAGTCCTAGCAGAAGACCACTGACTGGACCAAAGAGTAACTTACTGGAGCTACTAGTCCAAACAGAAGACCACTGACTGGACCAAAGAGTAACTTACTGGAGCCACTAGTCCAAACAGAAGACCACTGACTGGACCAAAGAGTAACTAACTGAAGCCACTAGTCCTAACAGAAGACCACTGACTGGGCCTAAAAGTAACTCACTGGAGCCACTAGTCCTAACAGAAGACCACTGACTGGACCAAAGAGTAACTTACTGGAGCCACTAGTCCTAACAGAAGACCACTGACTGGTGACTGGACCAAAGAGTAACTTACTGGAGCCACTAGTCCAAACAGAAGACCACTGACTGGACCAAAGAGTAACTAACTGAAGCCACTAGTCCTAACAGAAGACCACTGACTGGGCCTAAAAGTAACTCACTGGAGCCACTAGTCCTAACAGAAGACCACTGACTGGACCAAAGAGTAACTTACTGGAGCCACTAGTCCTAACAGAAGACCACTGACTGGTGACTGGACCAAAGAGTAACTTACTGGAGCCACTAGTCCAAACAGAAGACCACTGACTGGACCAAAGAGTAACTAACTGAAGCCACTAGTCCTAACAGAAGACCACTGACTGGGCCTAAAAGTAACTCACTGG